CTGGATATTCATGTAGTTGGCGAAATAATACGGCGATAAGAGAGAGGGCTTCACTATAGAAATCGACTAATTATTCATAAATTTGACACCCGAGGGACACCAACATGGCGGACACTAACTTCAGCAAAGCTTGTGACGTCACCTGAAACCCAACCATAGAAAGGTAGCAAATTCTTCTCAATTATTTTAAGACCTTGAGTATTGGTCCGGCCGGAGCTGGAACCCTCGACCTCCCGCACAACAGTCCAGCGCACTCTCCATTGGGCTAACTGTCACTCGTCCCAGATCCTCTACCCGTCCTAAATTGGGCACCGAATATTTGCCATGCTGAATCTCGCGCTTGAAAACACAAACTACCGCCTGCAAGCAAGTTTTTTCACCCCTTTCCCCCTCCCCTTGCTTTGTCTCTCATCCCAAATCTTCCACCTGTCCAATATGACGACCAAAGATCCGCCGCGCTGAATCTCCCGTTGGAAAACATAAACTACCACCTGCAAGGAGGCTAATCTAGTGTGAAAAATGGCATTAGTATGAGTGGCTTGACTTGTTGCTATAATGCACATAGTATAAATTACAACGGGAATTCATAGTCTAAATGAATATAGAAACGAAGGCTGAAGGCTTTTTTTTCTACGTGCAACTGTGATTGAAGGGAGGAGAAATGGATTTATACGTCAAAGAGTAATTATCTACCCCCCTTCCCCGTTCCTTCCTTCGCTCCTTTCCAAACGTTCCGTGATCCACCCGTACCGTGGTTGCTTTATAACGGAGACAGTATCCACATTAGCTTTGTTTTTAAAATGATTTATGGTTTTATTCAGCCAAAAGAATCGTACCTTTGGCTATTTGAATAAGAGTGGTGTTTTCTTGCACTCCGTGTTAGGGCCAGCATCCTGTCAAGTATTGATGGCATCTTTGTTACACTCAATGTTCCATTTAAGCTAAGTGTTTACTATTCAGGATGGTGACTGAAGACTGTTCTGTTTTCTATCCGAGCGAAATATTGTCGGGCACATATGCAGACCAAGGTCCGACAGGAGCAGACCATCGATTCTTTTGAAACAATTTCCAGAGACACAGATCCTTTTATTTATTAAGTGTTTTTTTTTTTTTTTTTTTTTTTTTTCTGGCGCTAGATGATTATTTGATCGAAAGATCAGTG